GCGATGATCAGGCTTCTTCCCATGTGGGCTGATGAGGCTGAGCATGGGACCTGATGGATGTGTGTCTACCACACCTCCTGCCAGGCGGCCTTTTTGCTGTCCATGATGTGGACGAGCGCCACGATGAAGCGAAAGTAGAGAAAGCGCGGGCTGACCGGCTATCGTTGAGGTATTTCACCTCCCTGCTATAGAGTAACCACTTCTTATCCCAGCTGGTTGTATTTGCGAGAAACAGCCTACATCCAATGGAAGTGCTGCCATGTCTCCAAAGCAGTTGGCGCGACTTATGCAACTGTGAAGTTGCCTGACGAAGCCCAATCTTGATTGGCAGGACCAGAAGAAGTCTAAGACCATAGCCAGTATCTCTGCCATTTTCTTGCTATTCTGTTCGGAGTGACCATTAGAGTTGGCTTGTACAGGTGCTTGGTAGTCGGCATGAATCTGCTACCGCCAGCTGGGTGAACTTGCGAACGCCATCACGTTTCCTCGAGTCATCACGTTCCGATTGATCCGTCACTTCATGTGACGCATTGATGTGCTGAATGGTAGGGGCCTTTCAAAGATCCGTTATCTTTCAACGCCTTCTAGGCAAACACACTGTTACGGCCTCAATGTCTCTGACTTAGATCATTAGTGTGGATACAACATCAAATTAGTATCCTGAGCACTTCAAAGCGACATATCAGTCGTCGTCAGTCTTTTCAATATCTTCTCTATTATCACATCATTGTGAGTTCGTTGGTAGTAATCGCAGTACCAGCGTAGCGCAACAGGATACCGTCTGGGTCGATGTGAGCAAGACGGACACTCCTAAGTACGTGCAAGCCAACATAGGTCTTCAAGTATCACTCAGACGAGGGCTTCAGCAGGGTGAGGGAGCTAAACAGCCTCCTCTGAAACTGCGATGATATCAAAACTCACATATTTCGCCGCTGTCGTACCCTTCAGCCCGAAAAGACACCCACGCCCTTTGGCTTGGGAATTAAAACATGATAGACATTGGGTCACAGGACAAGGTATACCTGTCAGATCGCGAGGTAATTCAGTCCACTTAGTATACTCATTGACATAACGCGCATTCATACTTGAAACGGTATTTTCCTTCAACTCTCGCTGGATTCGGATTGTGGGTACTAGATAATAAGGAGGGACATGAATTGAACTAAGCAGAAGGCTCCTCCCTTGGGATACAAATGATATAAAAATCGTGATAACATCCAATCCGGACACCAGCGAGCCCTGTTCAGCTTTCACAGGCAGAAAAAAAAAGCCAAGACATTCGTCTCTTGAGAAAGACAGGAATATGAAAATTGCAAACGCCGGACACAACGAAATTTTGTCCACGACCACACAGGTGCAAAAAGGTATCAGGTAAAAAAGTGTATGCACAATGTCGGTAAATCGTCCTCCCCATCGGCAAAGAGAGAGAAAGTAAATTCTCTTTAGCCGCTTGTTACTCCGAATGGAGTAAATCAAAACCGCCAAAGACAGTTCTTCAGCGGGTACCGCCAAGAGCGCTGATGCGTGCTCCAGACGGACGGTGGATCAGGCTGTCGGTGTGCTTACCGACGGTCTGCTGAGGCATCGTCTCGGACTCGCTGCGATCCTCCTCGAAGTCCTCATCATCCTCAACAATCTTGGTAGGGATGTCCTGATGGATCATATACTGCTGACTTGAGCGCTCGGGAGTTGCAGCGCTGGAAGCGAAGGACATCGCTGTGCTACTCCGGTTGGGGACCAGGTCCGGGGTGGGGGGGATGCTGGATATCCGACCAGAAGCAGGGTGAAGGAGGCTATCTTCGCCCATGTCAGATGTTGCGTTTGACTGAGTCTCGTGACCGTCATCGCTGTGGGTGGCGGAGAGGTTGCTGCGACGGCGCTGGGCGCGAAGGCGGGCCGCGCTAGCAGAGCGCTCATCAAAGTCGGCGTCTTGGGCTAACTGCAGGCCCTCAACGGCAGCCTGGCATTGCTCGGCAATGTTTCTAATAATGTGCGCGATGGCATCAGTCTTGTCCTTGAGGTGGCGATCGGCCACATCCTTGAAGCTCGAAGTGGAGAGCCTCTTGTTCGCCTCAGCGGCGGCAGAGAGGAGACGGGCCTGGTTGACGTCGGCTTCTCTGGGAGTGATGCCATCCTCACCCATCTCTGGCTCGAAGCCTTCCTCGATTTCGTGCGCCAAATCATCGGGCTTGGTCAAAGATTGAACCAGATGCTCCATGTGATGGCTCTGGCCGCCAATCAAGCTGCGCAGATGCAGCACAACACGGCGAGCCTCGTCACGCTGTCTGAGGATGGTGACGTTGGTGTGCTGAAGAGCAGCAAGCTCCTTCTTGTTCCGCTTACGCTCGCGCTCGAGTTCCTCGGCGATCTCCTGTTGGAGGACCAATGCTTCGAGAGCGTCATCACGCTGCTTCTCAGTAGCACCGAGACGGACATTGAGACGACCGTTGTCATCCTTCTGCTGATCAATGAGACCTGCAAGGCGTCTGTTCTCCCTCTTGTGAGTTTCGATCTTGGCCTTGAGATCCTGGGTCTCCTTGGTGAGCTGTTCAGCAAATGCCTGGAACTTGAGGAACTGCTGCTTCCAGCTCTCCAGCTCCTCGTTGAGATAGTTGTTGCGTTTTGTGACCTTGTTGAGCTCGGTATCCATGCGGCCCTTCAGGTTGATGAAGTCCTGCCAAGCCTCGAGAGCATCACGGGAGTACTGGTTTCTCTCGCGGACAATCTCGTTGAGATGTCTCATCGAGACCTTGGTCATCAAGGGCTTCTTGACGGAGCCACCAAAGACAGCCTTGATGCCCGTGTTGCGGCCCATCTTCTCGCAGACATGATCCATGACGGCCATAACAGTATCCTGGTTCCACCATTCGGGATCTTGGATGGACTCGACTTCTCCACGCATAACAATGATCTGGCCGGCGGGGACGAGCTTGCCGCCACCGTAAGCGGAGCGGAGATGAGGGGGAACGCCGGAGGGAGTCACATCTCCGTTGAGAGACTGTGTCAGGCGGGTGACGAACTTGTTACGCTGGCTGGGGTTGAGTGCGGTCGGGGGGCTGGAAGTGAGAACGAAGTTGCGGTCGAGGTCAACAACCAGAGCATCCGTTGGCGCGGTGAACAAGGAGCGGCACTCGGCCGTGACACCGAGGATATATGGACCGGGCTCCTGAACTAAATCCTTGGCATGGCGAGCATGCACAACTGGGACGTAGAGGCCACTCCATTCGTAGACGCGAACGCAGTATCTGACAGTCTCTGCAGCCATGGTGAGCATGGCCGGGTAGTGACTGACAAAGATGATGCGACGAGTTGGTGAAATGGCGGCCTCAACGACACCCACAATGTTGGGGATGGACAAGCAGCAGAACAGTGGCCACATGGCGAAGTTCTGGAAGCCAGTAGGCGACGAGGGGAATTGGTAGCAAAGAGCATAATCTTTCATGTCAATGCGAACCAAGTCGTTGAGTCTCGGAGCTGGAAAGCTGAGAATGCGCGAGACCTCCTCGGCGTGGAACAAGTTAGTAGCCTTGTTCCAGTGGATCCACATGCCTCGCAAGTAGTCTCCAAGAAGGTTGTACAGCGGGTACCGAGACAGGAATGACAAGCAGTAGGGAATCCAGTAAGTCTCATCGGGGTTGTCGTAATAGTCTGGTTCAGTTCTTTTACGCAGATCCCGAATTGTCTCGGCCCTCTTCTCGTCGGCTCGCGACCATACGCGAAGACAGATTCCATACAAAGTGTGGGACGAGTCTTGCTGCAGCACGAAGGCATGGTGGACGCAGTGAGGCTGGCTGCGGCCAGTGCAGATCTCAACGTCGTGGGGAAAGCAAGCCTGTAAAATGTCAGCCACTCAAACTCTAGACAAAACTTATGGCAAACAGCCACTAACCCGCATGGCAGCGTGCAACGACCTGGCGATCTCGTTGTCTTGCTCCAACCTCGGGCTGCTTCCAAGAATCTCGGGCAGCCAGAATTGACCAACAGCGCCCTTCATGTGGCCAATCTTGCCCTGTGCAGGGGCTGGGGCCTTGACCCATTGCGAAGGTTCTCTGCCAACACCGCATACCATGTAGGCGTGAGTAAGCGTCTTTGGGGTGCGCTGCTGGGGCTTCGCATTCAGGGTCGAGGGAATCGGCTGGGTGATGCGCGAGTGAAGGGAGGAAGTACGGCTCGGGATAATGAGGTTGTTGTCTCCCTGATCACGGGTGGTAGGTCGACCATCGCGGTCGCCGGTCCGGGGCCGGGTGAAGGACGAGTGTGCGTTCAGCGAAGGCGCCATTTCGTCGGTTATTAGTCGTCGTTAAGAAAGAAAAGTTATCTTGAAGTTATATAGGTGGACGTGAGAGCGAAGGAGAAGGTGACGAGGTGGTTGATGATCCGGGCCACACACGAGCTGACCAGCGTGTCGAAGGAAAAGGGCCTGGCTTGATTGGATGAATCAAAACACGGCAAGGAAGCTATCCAGAGAGCAAGCTCTCGTCAAGGAGTCGTCGGTCGAAGGAGTTGCTCAAAAAGGCGCCATTCGAAGGAGCCTCAAGGAGCAACTTGAATTGTCTGGTCTGGTTGAGCGAAAGTTGAGGCTCTAGCACAGACTACTTGGTTGACTGACTGACTGACTGCTCGGTGACAGGTGGGGAGAGAAGAAACAAGAAAGGAGAGAGGGAGGAAGGGAAAGAAATCGGAGACGAGGCAAGAAGAGGCAGTTCCAGCTGAGGTAAAAGGGGAGAGTGGTGTCCAAGGGGGGGTGTTTGAATAGGAGGACGGGGAGGGGGGAGAAGTGAGGGCGCAAGGAGAGGGTGTGTGGGAGAAACAAGAGGCAGATGGCGAGAAAACGAGGGTGTGCCACTGGCGGGCGAGCTAAGATGAAGCGAAAGGGGGACCAAGCACCCGACGCGAAGCTGGAAAGGGAAGTGTACGGTCGAGCAGCAGCAGCAGCAGCAGCACGGAGTGCCCACCTTTGGTGTAAAGGCAGGCACAGGCACAGGCACAGGCACGGCAGGTCAGAGGACAAACTGTGTGGCCGTGTGTGCGTACGGCGGGGAGCAGGCAGAGAAGAGATGGGCAGAGACAGGGGCGAGGACAGAAACACGGGCGGGCAGGCTAAGAGATGTAGCAGCGACTTTCCATTGAGAGCAGCAGGCCGGGGGACGGGGAATTAAGGTCTGCAGCCAACGTGCAGCAGCGTACGCAGTAGTCAGGTTCCTGGATGCAGGTTCCAATGATGTACCTTGGTCGGTATTCTTAGCGCATCTCAAGGCAGGACAGCGTGGGCAGATACCTTGCCATGCCGAGTCCTTGGGGAGCTCACTACAACCAACCGCAGAATTTGACGAGTACTCCGTATCCATACGGATAGGTACCTTACCTTACAGTAGAAACCACGGGGCCCCAACTCAGCAAGGAAACCTAAGGGAGCAGTAATAATAGTGCTAGCCTGAGTGAGTTGCCTGCCAGGACATGAAGCCACAACTACCTTAGGTACCTTACTGTGTAGAAGAGGTGATCAGGGAGCACTGTGAGGGGAGAGAAGCACGGAGAACAGCCGTTCGCAGGTACAGGCGGGACACAGATGGGGCAGAGGACGGGTGTGCAAGGGGGCATGCAGCGCAGTGTTGCGGTACCACTGTTCGACAGGGGACAAGGTGAGGTGGGGTTCAGGAACACGCGGACAGGGGTCACACCATTTGCTCAACTTTCATGGAAGGAAGGCTCCAACTTGATATCTGCAAGGTACAGACCAAGTACCGCCCAATATACATTCTGAGGGCTGTTACTGCTGACGTTGGGAACAAGAGGGGCGTTGTGATGGGCACGCCAACCACGCGCCAGATGGAGACGGCAGCTTCACGGGTCGTCAAATTGAAGTTGCTCCATGGCGGCGTGGCTCTGGCAATGGGGACTGTTCCGGGGGTTTGACTCTTGCAGTTGCTGCTGTTACATTTCGGGCTGGAGGCGGGCATGGCATGATACTCTTCCATACGGCACCTTGGGCTCCTGGTGTTTGGAATTGGACAGCGCTACCTGGCTCGCCTCACTCACTCGCACTCGCACTATTCGTGACCCAAGGTACAGACAGATACGCAGGACGGCTACGGATACAGGATTGTATCGAGGTCGGTAGAGGATGACAAGTGACGCCGATACTTGCCCAAGCTAAGGGCCAGTTCAAAACTCCAGACAATAAGAGGACCCTGACGTGGAAAACCGTTTCTCTCTCTTTCTCTACTATGTATTTTCCTTTGTGTACTGAGTGAGACATTACTTCGTACCGGCTCCGCTATGCGCCGCGACGAGGAAACGAACCAGTCCAGTCGATCGACAAAAGCCAAGCAAGTCCAGTTAGAGCTTCCAATAGCTTATTCGGCTTCCAAATCCCGATTCTCACTGAAAGCGTGACATTAACCTCGATATGAAAGTGGCAAACGCGACACATGGCAGCTGGAACAGGGGAAAGCAAGACGAACTCATCCCATCAGTACTTACCAACCAAGCCCCAAAAGAGCCAAGCGTGATTCGGGCATCTCAGACAGAAGAACCGTTGGAACGAGCGGTTAAAGGTAGACAATAAAAGACAAAACGAAACAAAGCCGCTTCGGGCAATTTGCTATCTATTGGGGCGCTACTTACTTTCGTTACTTTTGTAAATAGCAGCAACAGCAGCAAAGGACCCCAAATTCCAAACTACTGCAATTCGTGCAGTAAGTAAGCCCCTCAAAACGATCCGATGGTCGGTCGAATCAGTCGCTTCACAAGTTCAGCCCAATCGGCAGAAGCAAAGAGCTATTATTTTTTTTTTATTATTTTTTTCATTTCCATCTGACACTCGACACCGGCCAGAGAACCGTCGAGTCGTGTCTTTGTTCTCTGCCGTTCCCGTTGGCTCCGGGGATTGCAAGCCGTCAAGCCTCTCAGCAGAAGCTGCAGTTGTAGCGGCGACCTAGACTCCTTGACTCCTCCAGAGATTCAAGTCGACTCGTGGGAGCCCGCGAAGATGTGAGGAGCTAGCGTGCACTTGTGAAATACTAGCGTCATGCGGCGCCGCGTTAGCGGCTTCAATCTCTGCCCCTCGTTTTTCTCCCTTCTTTCCCTTCCATCCTTGGGTGTTCGTTCGCCCCAATCCCCTCGATGACTGAAGAGTCGTGGCCAAAGGTACTTTAATCATTCTCTTTTTGACAGTCTTCTTCTGCTGTACTCCGTATGTACAGAGTAAGGCATATTCTCGTCAGGTCCCATCCATCACACGCACGGGCCTCTCCTTCCAAAGAAGAAGTGGATGAGGGAGAAACCCCCGGTCAAATCCAGAAAGACCCTTGCCAAAATCTGGACCTTCCTGGTCGTTCTCCTAATATTGGATCTCCACCTTTGGCTGGTGGAGACTGACGATTTACAGCCAATGACAGTCACAGCTGGCGCCGCTCAGTACCAACTGCTCTCGAAAGAAATTGGCAAGCCTCGTTTGGAAATTCTGTCGCCTCTTCCTCACCACAGTCCCACGGGATGATTGGCGACTACACCAGTTCCCTGGTTTATTGGGCCTAAAACGATGACAGCTACCTGCTTTGGGTCGCGATTGTCGTCCCCGGTCTGAAGCCTCTTTGTCAGTGCTGGCATCGTCTTACCGTCCGCCAAACCCTTCACGTCTCGCTCTTCTTGGGGCGGCGCCCACTTTCGCCCTCGTCTGTACTCCGGCGCGCCGCTCACAGATACTTTCTTTTCGCCTGACGAGCGAATGGGGTGTGTCGTACGAAGTACTTGGTGGACGGACCGGCGATACGGTAATTTTTTTTATGGTAGGAACGCCTCAAAAGTTTGGACGGAATAGCACTCTGCTGATCCGCCTGTTCTTTGGCCAGGGAGACCATTAAACATCAGCTCGATACGATTATGCAATTCCACGCATAGCATGCTGGGCAGACCTTCCGACACGAAGGTCCATGTTACGGTGTTACCATGTGCCATGTCCTCCGACAACGAATCATGACTTTGACCCGTCTCCATACAGCACTTTCGATGGCACTCCAGCGCAAACGTAAATCACCGAGGGAAAAGGCATCCGAGCGGGCGTGAGAACCCAAGTTACCCAACGTGCGGCGTACATACCAACTTTCCACTGTTCCAGCCGTGCCAGCCATCCTGCAAAATAACGCGCACAAAATGCAACCCTCAAGGGGCCTTCTCCAGATGGATGACGAATTCAAGCTCAAGAAAGATCATCTGCCGAAGCGCTCAAGCCCCATCTCTGATCCCCCCAAGACACGCTCTCCTTGCACGGGTCGTCCCTGGAGTCTGGGACGGGATAACTCGACAGCTCCTGGTCGCTCCTCGGCTGGTTGGCTGAAGGGGTGTCCACGACCAACGAACCCAGATCGACGCACCTGCAGCACATCCCACACAAACAGAGGCTTGAGTGTTTGACGAGGGGACAGATCCGTATGGGTTGCTGCACTGTTGTGCCAGCAAGACGCGGCCCTTGATATAAGAATACTGACATTTTTCACTATCACTGTGTTAGCGATAGCTGTCGCACATACTCTAGCACAAGCGCTACGCCTGTCAGCCAGCTGCGAGCCATCGGGCCTTAGCAGGCGTATAGTGCGAGGAAATCATGGCGTCCACGCTAGGCCCCGGGGGCCGAAGTGGGCGGTTTGCCGGGGCGGGGACTTGGTCTCATGGCACCAAGTCTCTGTTCAGTATCTTCCGCGACGCGATTCATCTGTGGCGGCTTCGCATTTTCTTCTATCAGGGGCCTCCTTGGTTCCGCGACGGAGAAAAAAGATCTCAAATCAAGTAGGCCGGGTTGCGGAACGACTGGAGGCTACGGGAAATGGGTCACGACAGAGGGCAGAAGAAGCAGAACACGCCGAAAGCCCCGCGACCCAGCCCGATGCTGCCTTGGTCTACGGCTACATGAACGGCGATCTAATTACCTATGGCTTCCGCCTGGTGGAGGCAAAGCTGTTGGTGCTTGGCATGAGATTGTCAGTGCAGCCTGCAAAGTATCCATACACTCTGTCGCCGGACATCAACGAAGCGCCAGCCGCGCTAACGAATGGGCCTCATCAACAAATGGTGTACAATCTTTGCGAAAGTGGGAGCTGCTCACTCTATTTAAACAAGGTGTTTGATGGACCGCAAGCACCCGTCGGGATCTCTTCAGAGAGACAAACTAAAAAGGACTAGTATGTACCAATTTACCAACTGCTGTCTGTTGGTGGGCGCGGTTTGCTTCCTCGAACCCATGGATGTATGCTTACTTATCTAAATGTACCAGATATATTGAAATCTGCTCCTTCACTTCCAGAAGCTCAGCACGTCAATCTGTCTCCCGTGGCCTGGAACTGGAGGTGCCCGCATATCCACCAAAGCCAGCCATACGCATCACCGTTCCAATAAGCCGTCCAATTGTCCTGAAGCCTCGAACTCCGCCTGTCATTTACAGCAGACGCGGCCCGACTTGCACTACCGCCATTGTCTGAAAAGCGCCACATCCATCAGGGCGCTTTGACCCGCCGCTCTGGATACCAGGAGAATCTGGCAGTTTGGGTGAAGCTGGCACGAACCTGGCTGGCTCCTTCGGGGCCGGAGCACTCAGCGACTTTAGATATCTCGTCCGTGTTAAGGCCTGGTTACCTGTATTAATGGCCCGCATAAAACGCAAGCCGTGGATCTGTAACCCGAACGATGGTCCCCCACGGGCCGGAGACAGGTCCAGTTCCATGTTGCTCCGACTTTACCTGGCTATACGGCGGAGACTTTGGTGCTTATAGTCCTAGAGGCTGGGAGAACGTCCAAAGAAGGGGGGATGGATCGTGAATCTTTTTTGAGAAAGAAGACTTCCACTACTCTTTGTCTTTCACTGTTGGTGGCCCCAGCTCTCTTCTTGCAGTTGCAACTTGTTGGTACCGCCCAGCTCTAGATCAATTTGCACTTGTCAGCTGCGCGCTCCACCGAAGAACCGACCTGGACCTGGTCGTGATCTGAGCACGAGTCCCGAGGCCCTGATCGCTGTCTTATCTCGTACATACGCACCGCACTGATTCACTGAGGGTCAGTTACATACAGCAACAGCAACGGGGCAGTTCCAGACTGCCAGCTCCCCATCTTGCTGAATATTCGACAGCGGGCTCTCGGGCGATCCCCGTCTTCTATCTATCTGAGGCTGGTTTCGATCTCTTTGATCCAAAGTCCGCATGTGGGCAAACACCCTACCCAAATCCACTTAGTCCTCCTGCAGGCTGCAAACACCGACCGTGAAAGTGGTATTAGGTCAAAGTCTCCATCCGCATCCCTGGCTCTGACACCGTTATTGATGAGAAACCCTGGTCTTTTCGGTACGTACCTACCCGATTGTGCCGTCACTTCGTCAAACGAGAGAAGGGAAGAAGAAGAAAGAGGGAAAAGGCCCAAACGCGGTAAAACAAGATTAGAGAGAGACTTGCTGCCGAGAACCTCAGAGCTCAAGGCCATTACAACGCCTTGATCCTGAAATGTGACTGTGATGTAGTCAGCGATAGGCAGCATGGTTCTCGTCTGCGCAATTTCATTTGCAGCTCGAGTTCCTCGAGTATACTACGTATGTGACAATTTGATCACAATGAAACTTATTTCAACGGTCACGCCCTTCCCGGTAGCCCCGGTAGCATGGACAGATGGACGATATGCCCAAGCCTTGCTAACCGCTCAATACGAAGTACCTCAGCCCATGATAAATGAGGTCTTGGCGCACTGTCCCTCGAAGCTGTGAGCCGTCATTTCTTTGAAAAGGTGATAAGAGGTGGTTCACTTAAACCTTGACAGTCAAGGTCAGCATTTCGTATCTCCCGAACAGACCGTGCGACGAGTTCGTCCTGAGGTGTTTGGAAATCAATATTGACTGCTGCCAGGAGCCCCAAAAAATCCGGTTCGTTTCTCGACGAAGAGCCTTCGTTCGTTCGAGTACCCCCCGTTGTTCTCGGGCGAGTATCCCATGGGCCATGAGTCATCTCTGAGACTCCCACGCTGCGCGGATTCTTGGCCTTTTCGATTGCTGGTGATCTATCACCTGCGGAAGCCTTTGTCAACATCACATCGTGTTGCAATATCGGGATCCCCGGCCAAAGTCCAACTATGCTTCGTGACTCGAAGTAGAGCCTTCGCTGGCTCAAGCTTCGGATGTTGACGATATCAAACCAACCCAACAGGCACCAACAGGCACCAACAATATGCCGAGAGGGCACTAGCACTTGCGACCAAACGGCCTACCGTAGGAGCATGAATTCTGTCTCCGCAAGATACCGAACCCGTGCCTTGTCCGCGAGTTTCTACCAGGCTTGGCAACCGTCTTTCCCAGCCAGCCGAGCCGCGCGATCGACACGGGGCGAGACTCGTGGGCCGGGAGGACGGCGCGATGCTATTCCAAGGCAGGACGGTTTGCTATGCTGGTCTAGGAAGGTTCAACGACGGGGCTACGGCATCATTGCTAGCCACGGACGCTCCGTGGTGGGAGTGGTCGAGTCCACGAGCTGGCCCTGGGCAAAAGACCTAGACTCATGTTTCGAAACAATGAACCTGAGCAACCGGCTCTTTGCATCATCGAGTCATTCTCGGAGACGAGGAATTATTCTATTGTTTTTCTTCGGGCAAAGCCGTTTTGATTCCACTTACGGACGACACTAGCGGGTATTGGTAGGGGATTTCATCTGTAGCGGCACGAGTTTGATCAAACTTCTGGTTGAAAGGCCTCTAGTTGACGAAGCTTGCGAAGCTCGTGGGGCTTGATGAGGCCACTTTGGCCACTTATTTGTGGCGCCTCTATTTTCTTTGTCAAGGAAAAGATTCAAAGAAGTCAACCATTACAAGGCCGCCTCTAGGAACTGATTCATCAACAAAACCACCCTCGTCCAGTGTCGTACGGAAGTTTCAAATTCATCAGGCGAATCTTCCCAAAAACCAGATCGGTCAACTTTTCCCAGTTTCGGTGCCATTGGACGTACCGTACCCGCCAACCTTTGGCTCGGATCATATTCCATGAAGCAGTAGCCGGAGCTCAAACACGTTGCAGGTATCCTATGGAACACAATGACTTCTGTCGAATTATTACGAAGCCAGCTTCCAGCGCAATTCCAACACCAGAATTCCCTCCTCCCATCCCCGGCCATGACGGATCGGATGCGGAGATATTATGGGGCCGTCTTCTGCATACAAATCGGAGCCTTCGGATCTTGCCCCCTCTTTTCCCGGGACCCGAGTCCGAGCATCGAGATCAACAATATTGGACCGCCGCAATTTCGCGCTTGCCAGTCAGCCGGAGCGGTCAAGAGGCCCTTCGGCTATGCAAAGCAAAGTCAAGGCCGACGAGCCCAGCCAAGACTTGCGAAGTGCCGCATTCCCATCGGGTGAGGTGGCGAACTGGTCCTCTTTTTTCTTCTTCTTTTCCCACTTACGTTGCAAAGGAAGCGTTCCTTCCAACAACTGAGGTGGATGGCACACTTCCAAAATGCTGAGTTCCCACGCAAGATGCAGGGGCATCCACACCCGTCCAACATCTGTGGGAGGAAAGCGTGTGTGTGTACGGATGCCTACTCGCCTTCGCAAGGGATGGATGGGACGGGAGGCGAGTGCTCCCTCCCGCCTCTGCACACCTTTGATGTTATGTCTCTCCCGAAAGACTAGCCCGTGACGTTGGGAGCGCATTCGCGCCTAAGGATTATGACGATTTGTCGCAGACTTACAGAATGACGAATTCAAAGAGGATTGCAAAACATGACAGCAGAACACGAAAGCCAAAACAATGCCTTTTGCTCCCGCGTCATCCGACCTTTCGTCAGTTCCTTCCAGCATCTATAGCTTCTCATACTGGCGAAAAAGGTGCCGCAGGTGTTCACGTCACTTCTCACTGTCATGCAGAATGCGACGCAAGAGCTCTCAACGTTGAGGTTGTCCCTGCAGGTAGGCGAGACATTGCTTGACATGTGAATGTGGGCACATGTGGCTGGTGCAGGTGGAGACAATTGAGAGAACGCTATCAGGGTACAGGGAAGGTTCGCCGCCCCCCCCCCCCCCCCCCTTCATTCAAATTGTCCGATAATTTTCAGGTTTATCTTTGACGGATAGGAGTACATAGAAAACGGCCGAGTATTGCTTATAGTGGGAAGACGAGAAACGGGTCGTCGCGTCGATGGCCAGTCAAGTGAGAGAAGAGACCGACTGAAAGTGGCGACGGCGTACAGATAGGTGGATTCACGTCGTCCTCAATGCTTGGCTTCCGAGGTGCCATTTGATTGTTCACCCGGCCAAGCTGGACGAAGACGGCATGGCCGACGATGAGAGCCGCGGCAGCGTGTCTAGGAAAGGATGGCCACAGCCCGAGTTCCGAGAGGCGAATTCCGTCTGACGGGTTTGAGTGATTGAGTACCTAGCTTCTGTGCTCATCAAGAGATAATAGAGGCCATAGCTTCACGGAACAAAATTGGAGATTGGGAAGGGTGACTGGCGTACTTGGTGGTGTGTCACGGGTCAAGTTATATCTAATTTCTGGGAGAGCGGCGACGGCGTCATCCAGCATTACGAAGACAGCCAATATAGATTCCGTAGGAGAAAACAGCGCCAGGATGAGGAGCTTCACAAGCAACGGAATGCAAGATGGGAGGCGCAGAGAGGCCCCTCCCGGGCCTCCCCCTCCCACGGTCCACCTCACACAAGCTCGAGTGGGCTGAAGACCGGACCGCATAGCATCGCATCCAAGCGTCTGCCACAAGGCTAGCGCAAGGTCAGGTACCTTGGGCTAGTCGGTACGCGACGGAGGGATGTTTGGATGAGGAGAAAGCAACAAGAGCCCCGAGAGGTGAAGAAGAGTGCAAAGCTTCGTCCTCCAATTTGGCTTGCTGTGTCCCGCTATTTGGGCCTAGGGCGTGGTGGTGCAGGACGAGCGCCAGCCGTTGGCTTGGGATCTCCCCGTAATAAAGTTTGGGGTGATGTGAAGCGATAAGCCGGGGTGGGCGCATGGCCAATTGGGTTGCGGGAGGAACTTGGGGGTCTCTTGCGCCTTCTTGATACTTGAGATGGTATACCTATCCATACGTCGTGTTCGCGAAGCAGGGAAAAGTAAGGCTAAGGAGACAAGAGTACTGTATCAAGAGGTCGGAAAGGGGAACGAGAATAGTTACGGCGGAGATCATCCTCCGAACGAACCACCGCTTCTG